CTGAGAATTTTGCCTCTATGTCCCTGAAGGATATTGGTCTGTAGTGTTCTTGTAAGAGCTTTCACTGGTTTTACATAAGGGTTATAGTGGCTTCATGACATGCAGTGGAAAGTATGCCTTCTTTTTCAATTTTCAAGAAAAGTTTATGTAGTATTGGTATTATTCATTGCTTAAATATTTGGTAGACTTTACCAGTGAAGCCATATGAGCCTGAAGTTTTCCTTGTGAAAAGGTTTTTAGCTACAAATTCCATTTTTTTTTTTACCAGATATAGGGCTATTTAGCTATTTCTCCTTGAGAGAACTTCAGTAGTTTGTGTCTTTTTTGGACCATTTTATCTAAGTTGCCAAATTTACTAGCATATTGTTGTTCTTAACACTATCTTTTTAAAATATATATATTTTATTGATTATGCCATTCCAGTTGTTCTATTCCCCCCTTCATTCCCCTCCACCCTGTACACCCCCTCCCCCACCATTCCCCCCTTTAGTTTATGACCATGTGTCTCAAGTCCTTTAGATTCTATATTTCCCATGCTATTCTTGCCCCCCCTTCTATTTTCTATCTACTGTCTATGCTACTTATTTTCTGTATCTTCTCCCCCCTTCTCCTCCTCCTACTCCCCTGTTGCTAACCCTTCATATGATCTTCATTTCTATGGTTTGCTCCTGATCTAGCAGTCCTCTTAGTTTGCTTTTGTTTTAGGTGTGGTTCTTAATAACTGTGAGTTTGCTGTCCTTTCACTATTCATCTTTTTTATCTTCTTTTTCTTAGGTAAATCCCTTTAACATTTCATATAATAAGGGCTTGGTGATGATGAACTCCTTGAATTAGACCTGGGTGGCCCCTCTCTGACCCCACCCCCACATACAGCGTCACAAACCAGTGACCTGGGTGGCCCTGCCCTGGTGAACATCTAAGGCTCCGCTCTTCAAACGTAACAGGCACTAACAGATCAAAACATGTTCTTAACACTATCTTATTATTCTTTTACTGTCTGAAGAATCTGTAGTGATGTCACCTCTCTCATTCCTGATGTTGGTAATCTATCTTCTCTTTTTTTTTCCTAATTAGTCTGGCTAAAGCCCTGTCAATTTTATTGATCTCCTCAGAAAATAACTTTTGGTTTCATTGTTTTTTTTTCTATTTTTTATTTTGCTTATAGCTACTCTAATCTTTTTTTTCTTTCTTTCACTTTAGGTTTCATTTGCCCTTTCTTCTTTGTATAGTTTCTTAAAATGAAAACTGAGGTCATTGATTTGAAACCTCTCTTCTTTTCTAACAGCAGTATTCCATACTATAATTTATTCCCTCAGTGCTCCTCTAAAGGCATTTCACACATTTTTGTGTATTATGTTTTCATTTTTATCCAGTTCAAATTACTTTTAAATTTTTTCTTTGACCTATGAATTATTTAGAAGTTTGTTAATTGCTTTTCAAATATTGGAAGATTTCCCAGAAATCTTTCTGTTATTGATTTTCAACTTAATTCCATTATAGTCCAAAAATATATGTTTTCTTTGAATTTTCTTTATTGAGACATGTTTATGCTCATCTTAGAAAAAATTTTACGTCCATTTGAAGAGAATGTGTATTCTGATATTGAGGGAGGCAGATATTAGGTCAATTGGTTGTTAGTATTTTTCAAGTCATCTGTATCCTTAGTTCTATCAGTTATTGATTCAGACATATTAAAATTTTCTTTACTGTAATTGTTTTAACAAGTCCTGGGATGAGTCTGATGCCTACTTCAGGTGGAGACCTACTCCAGGTATTTCAGCTGGAGGCTTCATAACTGACTCCTTACACGTCTTTTCATCACAGTCTTAACACATGTCATACCCAACAAGAAAGCAGAGCCCTCTACTCTTGCCCCTCCCCAACACTCTCCCCTTGTGCCTGAGCAAAATGCTGGGATCAAAGCCATGCTCTTGACCCATGGGGGGCAGGAGAGTCTGGGTGGCTCTGAAAGCCAGTTCTGAGGGGCCCTTGCAGTGGTGGGGACCACAGTGGGATTTACCTGAGAGAGAGGTGATTGGTGGATCCCAAAGTCATATAGCCTGGCTCTCCATGGAGGCTTCTTGCACACAAAGCTGTCACAAATGTGAGGAGCAAAGTGCTCTGGCATCAGAAACAGTTGGGTGCACATCCCAGCTTACCTGCCCTACTCACAGGGGGCACATGGGGCTGGTTGATTCACCTCTCCCACATTCATCTGCTCATCCAAGAAAATGGTGATAATAGTGCCTACCTTCATGGGGGCCTCTAGAAAGATTAAATCCAATTAATTTAAACAGAGAGCGAGGAATACAGTATAGGCTCTGTAAACAATAGCAATTACTGCTTTTTCATTCAGCTGTAGTAGAAAGAAATGTCAGTGCCAGTATTGTTACTCCCCTTTTATGAATGATAGATTTTGAGGCACAGAGGAAAAAACAAAGTGTCCAGGATTACACAGAAACACTTACTGAAACAGCAAACACCAACACCCAACCCATTAGCCAGTGATGGATCTTGCCCATACCCTCTAACGAGGATGTTTCCCAATCCTGAGGCTATGGTCCTAATTTATTCCCAGTAGCTTCAGTTTTCCTAGAAAGAAAGTAAGTGTTAATTCAGTTACAGTAGTTACCAGCTGGTTTTCCGGTTTATTGCTGTAATTTTTCTATAGCAAGCATCTGTGGGTAAAGATGTCATTCTGCCTTTATGTTGCTTAAATGAGAATAAGAATTCCCTTGTGTCCCTGGAGGTACAAGAGCCAGCAGCCACCCTGTTAAAGCCAGGAATTGCCCGGAAAAGTTGTGGGTGGGGAGAGGAGTAAGCTTGCATAGTGTAGGGGGCTGGAGACCAAGTAGATAAAGCATGGGACCATGCCCCTCACCTGGGCAACTGCAGACACAGGGAGGATGTTCCCCCACCCAGCAAGGAGCCCTGACACACATTAATAGTTGGGCTTTGTTTAGCAAACACGCAGCTTTCACAGTGTGCCAGGCACTGCTCTAAGGACTTCCCAAGCACTAATTCATTTAATGCTCATAAGAGTCCCACAAAGTACTACTGTTATTCCTATTTCACATGTAAGGAAATTGGAATGTTGCACAGAGAAGTTAAGCAATTTGTCCGGGATCACACAACCAGTAAATGGCTGCCGCAGGATTTGAACTCAGGCAGTTAAGTTGTAGATGGATTTTAAAAGGGTTCCCCACCCTGCCTGGTATGGCTCATTGGATTGAGCACCAGCCCATGAACCAAAGGGTTGCCAGTGCGATTCCCAGTTAGGGTGCATGCCTGTGTTGCAGGCCAGGTCCCCAGTAGGGGGCGCATGAAAGGCAACCACACATTGATTGATATTTCTCTCCCTTTCTTTCTTCCTCCCTTCCCCTCTCTCTAAAAATAAATAAATAAAATCTTTAAAAAGGGTCTCCCATGGAGACAACCAAAAAATACATAGTCAAAGCCACACATGGGATGGTGAACACACAATATAGAGATGCTGTATTACAGAATTGTAAATCCGAAACCTATATAATTTTATTAACCAATGTCACCTCAATAAGTTAAATAAATAAAAAATTTTTTCAATAAAATTTCAAAAAACCAACACAAAGTCTAAGTTGGGCAAATCTGAGCATGAACCAAATGAAGAAAGGTTTCGACAGAGATTAGTCACTAACATAGAGAAGGGGGCAAAGGAGGCCTAGCCTAGTGGGTGGGGAAAGGGTAAGTCAAGGTGTTTTTGACAGACAGTACCTCATCTAAAGTGGGACTTCTGAACAGAAATATGGGGTCTCACTATTCCTGGGGAGTGGGAGTTACCATTCCATTGTAGAGATATGGAAACTGAGGTTCAGAGAAATTAAGTGTCTGCTTAAATTTACATGGCCAGGAAGTTCACACCTGGGACTCAGATGTAGCCTACTCATTTCTACACCCAAGCTCTTTCCCTACATCTCTCAGCCTTGCTACCAGATTTCAGAATTAGAGGATGGAAGAGGCCTTTTTTATCCCCCTTCTCCATGTTAGTTAGTGATCTCTGCTGAGGTCTTTCTTCATTTTGTTCATGTCCAGATTTGCCCAGATCAGATTGTGCGTGGCTTTGACTGCACATTTTTGGTACTCTCCATGGGAAAGCCATCTTAAACTCCATCCCTATAGCCTAGCTGCCTGGGTTCAAATCCTGGCTCAGCTACTTACTGGCTGTGCGACACCAGTAGTTTACATACACATCTACCATGCACATGGCATGATGTGTGCTGAATATGTCCTGTGTGACAGCTCACTTCCACTAAACAGTTAAAAGAAATCGCACCTGGCCAGGAGGGAGCAGAACTGAAGTTACACAGATCTGCTGATCCTTTTTCCCATGTCACCTCAGGAACAGTTACATGGGAAAAGCCAGTTCCAGTGTGCCAACCTTTCTCTCTCTTACCCTCTATAGCAGGGGTGTCAAATTCATTTTCACCAGGGGCTATGCCAGCCTTGTGGCTGCCTTTAAAGGGCCGAGATAATTTTAGAACTGTGTAAATGTAACTATTCCTTAACTGTTAAGGAGTTAAAATTACATTCAGCTCTTTGAAGGCAACCACGAGGCTGATGTGGCCCCCCAGTGAAAATGAGTTAGACACCCCTGCTCTACAGCCTAAAATTTTTGTCCCAGAAAGGAGATATTGAAATTAGGAGCCCTCCACTTGACAAGAGCCTTCTCCCCTGCTCCAGACTTGTGTTTCCATCCCTCACCAGTGAGGAAGAACTCTGGGCAGAGCTCCTGAGGTGGTACCACCCCATTCCACTGGGACCCCACCAGGGCCTCAGCTGAGCCTGGTATCTACCTTGAAGAAGAGCCCTGCACCCCTCCTTGGCACCCAATCTTACCACCAGTGCCTGAAGGGCTGGGCACCTGATCCTATGGCCCCACCCTCCCTCTCCAGGAGAGCTGACCATAGAAGTCCTTCCCCAGTCATCTCATGCCACCTGTATTTGTGTTTGTCTCTCTGCTTTAGGGATTTATTTCTTTGCAAGGGATGCAGGTGACCCAACTTCTTCCTGGCCCTGAAGATGTGGGGAAGCACCTCTTTGAGATCAGCCCAGGTAGGCCTGAACACCTTGCATCTCTGTGCTGGGGCTGGCTCTGGTGGCCCCAATGAGGGTGTTGCCACACCTTTAGCCTGGGAAGGGCAGAACCCCTTCATGAAAGTCCAGTACTGTCTCTAAACAGGACTCAGAAAGTTGGGCCAAATCTAGAGGATTTTACAAATTTGGGGGGTAACTAGAAAGTCCGGTGAATAGTGTGGATAATTAGCTTTTGATGGATTTTTAGATTTATTGTAAACACAAGGGAAGAAACCAATCAACTGGGCACCTTAGGGTGAAGTTTCAAACAACAAATCTGGGCCATATACAAATAAGTCACTAGCACCAATTCAGAGCATTAGAATAAGCTTTACCATGGATTCCCAAATAGAATTGCAACGTTGGAGGAAGAGAAGAGTTTAATCTAAAGAACTGCTATCATGTTAGCAATCACAAAACAATTTTTTGAAGTTGTCTGTTTTAAAATGTGATTGTTATTGAGCTAAGTAAACATGTCTTGCAGATGAGCCAGTCTGTTCACAGCAGGGCCTGGTTCCACAGCCAGGTCACATTCTATTCAGCCTGACCTCCTCCAACACCCCCTTACCCCTGCCCTGGGAAGCAGAGCCTGAAAGGATATCTGAGCAGTTTATTCGGAGGCAATGCCCAAAAAGCAAGGATAAATGAGTAGGAGGATAGGAGAGCCAGGCAGGCTGTGCTGTGAGCTGACTGCTGCTGTAGCACCCAGACTCAGTTCCAATGGGACTGTGGGGGCTGTGGGGGCTGTGGGGAACAGGCCTCATAGATGTCTAGCAAAGGAGTGCAGAGATGTCTTGCCCAGGAGTATACACCAGCAATTAATTGCAAGCTACTTCCTGGGGAGCTCACATTGCCATATCTGGCCTGTCCCACATATGGTCCAAGCTCCCTACAGATACAGAAGGCCTTTGGAGAGAGTTGCAGGTACTTGAGGAGGCCACCCACATGGATGGGAACTGTTGCCTAAAGGTCTAGGCAGGGCAGCTAGTCATCTAGCTGACTAGCTATGTGACCTATGTGTCCTATGGGTGTACATCAATTTTAGATGTCCTTCTGGGAAGTGGTGTCTATGAATTGGCTAAGGTCTCACTGGGGTCTGTGAGATAAGAAGTTTATAGTCTCAGAGCAGCATGGTCACCCAACCACTCTGAAAGTGACCTGGTGTTACAGAACCCCAGCCAATGCTGCTCTAGAACAGCTGTGGAGTCTGATGGCCCACCACCAAGAAGCATTACTCCAAATGCTAGAATTTGGTGAAAAGGAAAAGAATTGTTCATTTAAAAGTTATACAGAATTAAAAACCACAGTGAGATATGACTTCATGCCAGTCAGAATGGCCATCATTAACAAATCAAAGAACAACAAGTTCTGGCAAGACTGTAGAGAAAAGGGAACCCTAGTGCACTGTTGGTGGGAATGCAGTCTGGTGCATCCACTGTGAAAAAAAGTATGGAATTTCCTCAGAAAATTAAAAATGGAACTGCCTTTCAATTCAACTATCCACTGCTGGGATTATACCCTAAGTATCCCGAGTGACTAAATCAAAAGAACCTGTGTACCTCATTGTTCATAGCAGCATTACTTACAATAGCCAAGTGTTGGAAACAGCCTAAGTGCCCATCAGTAAATGAGTGGATCATAAAAACTGTGGTACGTTTATACAATGAAATACTACACAGCAGAGAGAAAGAAGGAACTCCTACCCTTCGTGACAGCATAGATGGAACTGAAGAATTTTATGCTAAGTGAAATAAGCCAGGTAGTGAAAGACAAATACCATATAATATTACTATAAGTAGAACCTAATGAACAAAACAAACAAACAAGCAAAATAGATCCAGAGGCATGGAAACAAAGAACAGACTGACAGTGACCAGAGGGGAGAGTGATAACAGGGGAAAGAAGGGGAAGGGACAAGCCAAGGAACATGAATAGAGGACTCATGCACATGGAAAATAGGGGGGATTGACTGTGGGAGTGGGAGGAAATGGGGCAAGGAGAGCAATACAGAAAAAAAGTGGGACAACTGTAACTGAACAACAATAAAAAAAAAGTTATACAGAATTAGAATAATGCCAGAATTCTGCCATTAAATCCCACTCCCTTTAAAACACCTGCAAACACACAGTCCTGCCTCCCTTCGCCAAACCAGGCTAGTTTCAGAATACGCCAATCAGAGGCACCATCTTTCAGATAAAAACAGAAGTCTGAGGCTCAGCCTTCCCCATCACAGTTCAGCATTCCAGGCACTTCCTGTTAATCTGTGCTTGGCTAGGCAGGTTCCCACAGTTCCATCAGCCATGCTGCCATGTTCTCCCAGACAGGTTTCCCAGTGAGTCTCCTCTTTCTTCCTCCAACTCTTAATCCAAAACAGAATGAAACCCCCTTACTCCAAATCTCATGGCACCTCCTTACACCAGACCTCATGGCAGCTGTTGGGGACCCTTCTATACCCTTTCAAACCACCTAGCAACTTTCATGGCTGGCCACCCTAATTTTAAATGCTGACCCAGGGCTTCCTATATGACTTCATACTCAGCACTATACATACTGAAGGTCATGTAGGGTGGCAGCACACTCTTGCCATTGTAATGCAAAGTGTCTTAAATGCCATATCATCTGCCTCCCCCAACCCCCAAACTATGGACTGTGGGGACTTTGGAGGCCTCTCACCCTGTTTCACTGGCTTTAGGCTGCCCAGTGAGCATGGATCATCCCAGCCTGGGGCCAGCCAGCAGCGTGCTCCCACTGAGATCCCAAGCGAGTGAATGCAAGCCTGTAGTAGGCCATGTTCACCTTTGCTCTGTCCATCCTGGGAATTCCAGGGAGCACTGGCTGAAGTTGAAGTGCAGGGAACCCTTCAACTACATACCCTGCATGTGGACTTCAAGCAGCATGGTTTCATTTAGGCACTCCCTATCTGGGCATTCATCTACTGCAAGTACCATGGAAGGTGACAACAGAGTGATCCCAGGGCAGAGAGTGGAAGATTGGGGCCTGGTTGACTATAGAACAGGAGTAAAGGCTTCTGTAAAGAAGAGAGAATGAAGGAGGGCAGTGAGGTAGACAGGGCCCGGCCCTGTAGGAGACGGGGAGCTGGCCACCTGGAAGAAAGGGTGGGAGGAGGGGCCCTGAACTTGGAGAATGAAAAGGTAGAGGTCAACACACTCCAACCACAAATTTAGAAAGGCAATTAGCATGTGCCCCACAGACCAAAAAGGGAAGAATTGCTACTGTATATGCTCTTTATCTGGGTCAGGGCTATTTACAAGGATTTCTTGGCTCTGGAGGGATGAAGACCCACTTGCCATGTAAGGTAACATTCACAGGTTCCAGGAATTAGAATGTGGACATCTCCATGGGGCCCATAGTTTAAGATTGCCTATTTTATTAAAAAGGACACTGGAGGTTATAAAGGATAAGAGGCTTGCCCTAGGACACACAGCCAGGTAGTAATAGATTTAGGGCTTGTACCCAGGCAGTCTGACTTCCAAAGCCATACAGTTAAGCTGCCCTCCAATACAGGCACAGAATCTAGTGTCTTAACCACCTGAGCCTGGGAGATCTAGGGGTGCAGTTATAGAAAGACAAGCTCCCTGCACCCCTTTGTATCAAGCACAGCGCACTCTAAGCACCGGATTCTTACAGGTCTCAAGGACTGTCATCTCTGCCTTCTTGCCCTGTGCACATACCTGAAAGCCTTGGGCTGGGGTGTATGGGAATGTACCGCAGCTGTGAGGCTGCCCAGGGAAAGCAGGCCATGTGTGGGCAGTGAGGGTTCAGTCATCCGTTAGGAAGTGCTAAGGAAGAAAGGCTTGCCCTGACTGGTGTGGCTCAGTGGACTGGGTGCCGGCCCACAAATCAAAAGTTCACCAGTTCAATTCCCAGTCAGGGCACATGCCTGGGTTGTGAGCCAGGTCCCTGGTTGGGGTGTGAGAGAGGCAAATGATCCATTAGTTCTCTCGAACATGTATGTTTCTCTCCCTCTCCTTCTCCTTCTCTTCCCCTCTCTCTAGAAATGAATAAATAAAATCTTAAAACAAAAAAAAAAGAAGAGAAGAAGAAAAGATTCAATAACCTCCACTGGACTCATCATTCTGGCTGGGGAAGGTCATGGGCACATGTCTGCCAAAAGCAATGGCCAGAGTGGGAAAAACTTGATAATAGATAAATAAACTACATGAATTTTAAGTCTTCTCTCTATGACTTAAAATCTGTGACTTTATGTTCTTCAACAGTATTAAAGTATCAGATAGAATTAAAAATGAGGAAAAGTTAAATTGTGAGTGCCATCTAGTGGAGAGAAGTGCCAATCCCACAACAGGCCCTGCATACCTCCTGCCCACTCCCCCCCACCCCCCACCCCCCGACATTTCACCCAGGCCAAACCTCTGACTCTTGATGGGTCCCTACAGTCATTAAAGAGGGAGGGGAGCCCTGGCTGGTGTAGCTCAGTGGATTGAGCATGGGCCTGCAAACCAGAGGATCATGGTTTGATTCCCAGTCAGGGCATGTGCCTGCGTTGCAGGCCGGTTTCCGGCAGGGGACTCATGAGAGGCAACCATACCTTGATGTTCTCTCCCTCTCTCCTTCCCTTCCCCTCTAAAGATAAATAAATAAAATCTTAAAAAAAAAAGAGGGAGGGGAAAGGCCTGCTGCTTAAGCCCACTCTGACGCTGGCTCTGGGTCATGCCCGAAGGAGCCAGGACCCAGGAAGTATCAGGGATTCAAGGACCCTGAGTCACTTTTCCACCTGGGCTGCTCCTCCTGCCTGGGCAGTTAGTTGTCTGTTGTGATATTGTGACTTGTAAGAAGAAATATTTATTTGGTCTTTGTCCTAGTTCCTGGCACAGAGCTCCTAAAATCCTCCAAATTTCCTACCTGAGGAGTGATAAAGCTGTCTGTTGTTATGTTAATGTATGGCAATGGGGGCTGATTTCCCTTGGAACCAACCTTGTGACTAGAGGGTTGGAATTTTCAGGCCCAAGCCTCACCTCTGCGGGGGGGGGGGGGGGGGGATGGAGGTTGATTCAGTAGCCAATGGCCAATGATTTAATCAACTCTGCCTCTTTAACAAAGCCTCCACAAAAAACCAAAATAGCAGCATTTGGAGAGTTCCTGGGATGGTGAATATGTGGAGATGCAGGCAGCAGAAGCCAGCTCTGGCAGACTCAGGGGAACAGGAAACTGGCCAGAGGCTGCAGGGCCATACAGAATCTTGGGGAAGCTGAAGAGCTATGTGTGGAAGGGCAGGTGGCAGAGCTGCTCAGAGGTCCTGGAGCCAGGAACAGAGGACAGGTGGGTGCTCTGTACTGGGAGATTAAATCCAGCCTGATGCTTCTTCAGTCTGTAGCTGCTCAGTGTCCGAACTTTAAATGGCCATGTTTAGGTCACATGCTCGCCCTTGACAATACTGGGGTGGGGAGGAAAGACCTGTTCACTACAGCAGTTGGACAGACCCACCCACCAAGGCATCCAACAGTGGAAGCAAGAAGCCCCAAAGGTACTCGGTGCTTTCAGGAAGGGAGGGGAGTTGACAGGTGGCAGTCTCCATCAATGTGCACTGCACCAGCTGCAGTCTATGGTTTTCTTTCTGCCAGGCCAAATGTCACATTGCCAGCCTTTTCACGGAGTCACAACAGGGTCCCAGGATGGGATGTCTACCCAGGGTCCCAGGATGGGATGTCTACTCCAGGGAGTGCCAGGAGCCCAGCTTTAGGGCCTTCAACCCCAAATGAGACAAAGGCCAGTCCAAATCTCAGGAAAAGGAAGAGTAGGGAAGTACTGTCTTCTTGAGTGGGAGAATAGGAGAGTGTAACAGCTGCTCTGAAGTCTAGGCCCAGTTCGCATCCTAGAACACACCTGCTTTTAGTCATACAGGCCATATTTCTCAAGATCAAGTGCCAAAGCTCCAGTAGAAGCCACCCAGTTAAGAGGTCTGGCAGACCTCTGCTCTCCCACCAAGCTCCTGGGCTGCCTCCCTCCTCCCAGGCTGGGTGGGTGAGGATGGCTTTGAGGTGTTGATGTAGTTGGGGGTCCAGGGAAACCAAGGAGATGTAGATGATTGTACCCATGTGAGCAGAATACAGATGTCCCCCAGGGCAGTACAGATAGGAAGGTTCCTGGGAGAGAGTCAGGAGGCAAGGCCCAGCACAATCTCCCTGTTTGCATCTGTTTTTTGTCAGAGTCAGGGAGAGCTGACAGAAGTCCAGCCCTGCCACCAAGGACCAGTCACTTAATGTCCTATGACTCTGTTTCATTATTTGTAAAACTGCAGATAATAATAGAGCCAAGTACCATGAGTTTGATGAGGATGAAGTAAGATCCAGTACCTGGCTCATGTTTTTAATATTTCTGCCTCTCTGCAGTCTCTCTGTTTATCAATATTCTGAATAATAACACATTTACTGCTTAGCTATTACCTGTAAGTAAACAATCCCAATACCACATAATAGGTGCTCATACAGAGGTATCGTTAGGGCCAGGGCCTGTGAGCTGGGTGTCAGGGGAACTTGCCTGGATGGTTAGAGAAAGTTTCACTGAGCCTTGACAGAAACATAAAAGTTATCCAGATGGGCAAATGGGAGAAGGACCTTCCCAAGGTGGCCCAGAACAGTGGATATAGGTCACAAAAGCACAGAGCCCTAGAAAGCATGGTATGCAGGAGACTCCGGGAGAAGAGGACCAAGGTTGGAAGGTTGGCAGGGACCAGATCTTGCAAGGCCTGGGATGCTGGACAAAGAGCCTTGAACTTTAGCTGTTGAAAATCTTCAGCTGACAGGAGAGATGATTAAAACCAAAATCAGTCTTCCAGCCAAGATGGAGGCGTAGGTGAAAACACTGTGCCTCCTTACACAACCAAGTTTAAAGACAACAAAGTATTAGTAACAAAAAACATAACCAAAACACAGAAAATTGAACTGTAAGGAAGTCCAACAACAATGAACCATTCAGCCAGACTGGTAAGAGGGGCAGAGCCAGCAGCTGGCAGAGCGGGGTCATGCAGGAAAAGGTGGCTGGCCCACCTAGGCACACAGGCGACATTTGGTGGATACCAGGTGTGGGGTGGCAATGGGCAGACCCAGTGAGGGCGCAAGGCAGCTGGCTGACTGAGGTCACACCTTCACACACAGATAATCCGGGCAAAGGAGAGAGCAGTGAGACAGACTGTGCAAACCAGGGCCTCAGCGACGGGAATTAAAGCCTAAAAGCACCAGTTGGAAAAACTTTGGGGTTGAGGTGGCGGGAGAAGCTCCCAGGCTCACAGAGAGTTCATTGGAGAGACTCACAGGGTCCTGGAGGGTGCACAAGCCCACATACCCGGGAACCAGCACCAGAAGGGCCAAACTTACTTGCAGGAAGCAGCAGAGGGGACTGAAATCCGAGGGAGAGCAGAACAAATGCCATTGCCCCTCTCTGACCCCTCCCCACATACAGCATCACAGCCCAGCTACTGGGTTGCCCTGCCCTGGTGAGCACCTAAGGCTCTTCCCCTCACTACATAACAGGTGCATCACAATTAAAAAAAAATCCCCCAAACAAAAGAACAGAACAAAGCTCCACAGCAAATACAACTAAGTGATGAACAGATAGCCAGCCTATCAGATGCACAGTTCAAAGCACTGGTAATCAGGATGCTCACAGAATTGGTTGAATTTGGTCACAAATTACATGAAAAAAATGAAGGTTATGCTAAGTGAAATAAAAGAAAATGCACAAGGAGCCAATAATGATGGGAAGGAAACGGACTCAAATCAATGGTGTGGACCAGAAGGAAGAAAAAATGACCAAACAGAAAAGAATGAAGAAACAAGAATTCAAAAAAATGAGGAGAGGCTTATGAACATCCAGGACATCTTTAAACGTTCCAACATCTGAATTATAGGGGTACTAGAAGGGGAAGAGGAACAGCAACAAGTGGAACACTTATTTGAACAAATAATAAAGGAGAACTTCCCCAATCTGGCAAAGGAAATAGACTTCCAGGAAATCCAGGAAAGTCAGAGAGTCCCAAAGAAGTTGGACCCAAGAAGGAACACACCAATGCACATCATAATTATATTAGCCAAGATTAAAATGAAGAAGAGAATCCTAGAAGCAGCAAGAGATAAGGGGACAGTCACCTACAAAGGAGTTCCCATCAGACTGTCAGTGGATTTCTCAAAAGAGACCTTACAGGCAAGAAGGGGCTGGAAAGAGGTATTCCAAGTCATGAAATCCAAAGACCTACATCCAAGATTGCTCTATCCAGCAAAGCTTTCATTTAGAATGGAAGAACAGATAAAGCGCTTCTCAGATAAGATCAAATTTAAGGAGTTCATCATCACCAAGCCCTTATTATATGAAATGTTAAAGGGACTTATCTAAGAAAAAGAAGATAAAAAAGATGAACAGTGAAAGGACAGCAAACTCACAGTTATTAACAACCACACCTAAAACAAAAGCAACTAAGCGGGCAGCTAGATCAGGAGCAGAACCATAGAAATGGAGATCACATGGAGGGTTAGCAACAGGGAAGTGGGAGGAAGAGAAGGGGGGAGAAGGTGCAGAGAATAAGTAGCATAGACAGTAGGTAGAAAATAGACAGGGGGAGGGTAAGAATAGTATGGGAAATACAGAATCTAAAGAACTTGTGATACATGGACATAAACTAAAGGTGGAGGAATGGTGGGGGAGGGGTGTGCAGGGTGGAGGGGAATGAAGGGGGGAGAAATGGGACAACTGTAATGGCATAATCAATAAAATATATTAAAAAAATAAAAATAAATAAAATGAATACAATAATTCTACAAAAGGAGACTAACTCGCCCTACTGCCCAGAATTTCACAGGTTTCTCACTGAAAGCCCTGTTTCCTGGGCAGCCCTTAGTCTCGGGCAGGCTAGAAGAGTTGATCACCCTTAGAATGTTATAAGGATTAAGTAAAATAATGTGTATAAAATATTCATATAGCCCTGGCTGGCGTGGCTTAGTGGATTGAGCACCAGCCTGCAAATCAAAGGGTCGCTAGTTTGATTCCCAGTCAGGACAGGTGCCTGGGTTGCAGGCCAGGTCCCCAGTGGGGATGCATGAGGGGCAACCACACATTGATATTTCTCTCCCTTCCCCTCTGTCTAAAATAAATGAATAAAATCTTTAAATAAATAAATAAATTAAATAAAA